GTTTGAGGAATTTAAGAAAGTCATGCCACATGGGGCACCCAAAATGATCATTACAGATCAAGATGCAGCTATTGCAAAGGCGATTGCGATAAGTTTCCCGACAACATTCCATAGATATTGCATATGGCATATAATGAATAAATTGATAGAGAAAAATAGAGAAAGTGGGCATTAGAGAGTGTTTTTCAGAACTGTGCAATTGCATATGGGATATAGATAGCAGAGAAGAATTTGATGCCAAATGGGATGAAGTTATTACAAAAAATGGGCTGAAAGAGCATATGTGGCTGAGCGCAATTCATGCCTTGCGGGAGAATTGGGTTCCATCATATGTAAAACATGTGTTTTCGGCTGGGATGTCAAGTAGTCAACGGGCCGAAAGCTGTCATTCTTTTTTCAAACAATATATTAACAAGAACAACACGTTGATGGAATTTATAGTACGTTTTGAAAGAGCTCTTGCTTCACAAAGGCATAAGGAGTTATTGGCTGATCATGTTGATCAAAATGAAAAACCTCCAACTCCATTTCTCACACCAATGCAACTTCAAATGGGAGGCATTTACACAAGAGGGATTCTTGACATCTTTGAGCGAGAGGACTTTGAAAGCCTTTTATGCTTCTTTGAAGTTGTAAAGGAAGATGAGACTCATTGCACGTACAAAGTAATTGAGAGGGTACAACCGGGGGTTACACGGATAAAAGAGCTTGTGCATAATAAAGATATCGATCTAGCTTGTTGTAGCTGTCGGGGATTTGAATTTCGTGGTATTCCGTGCCGACATATCATATCATTTTTACGAATGAAGCAGGTTGCGTATTTACCAGAGAAGTATATATTGGAAAGATGGATGAAAAGTGTAAAGTTAGGTGTAGTTTTTGATAAGGATGGAAAAGAAGTTAAGGATAGCGTTGATGGTTGTATTTTGGTTAAGAAATCGACATTATGCAAAGTTGCAGCTGATTTGATTGATTCGGCGTTGTTGTCTGTTGAAGGTGTTGACCTACTGCAAAAAACATTTGACGACATTCGTGGGAAGCTTACTAGCTTAGTTTCATCAACCGCTGATGTTGAAGAACCCAATGAAGATGGGGAAGGTAGTTCTGCCCAAGTGAGAATAAAAGATCATAATCGAGTTAAATCAAAAGGTCGTCCAAAAAGATTTAAAGGACAACATGAGAAGCCATCAGGACGATATAAACGTCAGTGCACTGAGTGCAGGAAGAGTGATCATAATAGAAGGAAATGTCCAAGACTTACTAGCATGTAAGCAAATATAACGTATATATTACTTCAATATATTTACTTGTAATGATTTGTAATGATGTATGAATTTTGAATTGCAGTTCTTCATGTCCTGACGCCGATATTGCTGCTCCAGTTGTTGAGAATATGCAGCCCAATCAGAGTGCGCAGAATAGTGAAGGAACTCAGCCAAGTATGACCCAGGCATTTATGCAGGAGTTTGATTTAATGCATGGACCCAGCGTTTGAGTATTTGCTGATACCTATTGGCGCTGGTTTTTATTGTATGGGAAGCTCTTGTGACACTTATGTAATCGGTTCATGTCTGATTGGTTTTTGCAAACCCTGAGTTTGAGTATGTAGTGATACGTATTTATGTTTCCTGTGAATGCTCGGCAAGTATTTATGACACTTATCTGATCGGTATCTCAATGCTTGCGATCGGTCTCCCAGAACTGTTGTTTCAACGGATTTATGGCACACACAAGTGCTTTGATACTGTACTCTCACTTAGCTCACTTTTCTCTCACGAAGCTCAAACCCTTTTGATGCCCCTTGTGAAATTCTCTCTAAATTTGTTCTACTTTATTTTCCTCTTCATAATCACTCTAGATGGAACAATCTGAAAATATCAAGGCCAGCAATCCAAATGATAGCTGGAAGCACCAAAGCCTGGAGTTTGATTTAATGCACGGACCCCGATTTTGAGTATCTAGTGATACATATATATATTGGTTTTGAATGCACGACAAGCGTTTTTGATACTCTTGTAATCGGTTCATGTCTAATACCAAAGCATTTTTTCCTTTGTTGTTGAACATTATCGCTAATGACACCATAGATTTATTGATTTGTGACATTATGTGTGTGGAAGCCAAGCCATTCTATTTCAATAAACTCCAAAAAGGTGATGTTCATGTTGGGGTGAAATATTTTGCATGCATCATTTTTCTGCAGAAGTTTTATGAAAGTGAATGTTCAAAATTTAGGAGCCCAACCCCTGGGAAATGTACATAACACCTTTTCCAAGACATGAACAAAAAATTCAGCAGTACAAAAGCATGACCCCAGGATACCCCCACTCGTATTAGT